GGCCCTAGTGTACTTGGGCAAAAAATATTCAATGAAAAACATTGTCCGCTTTTGTGGCCAAGAATGAGTGACAGCAGAGAGTACAAATGGAAACAAATGCCACGTTTTTCGATGAAATATGAGTTTCCTGTTCTAACTCGAAAACAGAAAGGAAAAGTATTAATTGTAGAATCGCTTTTGTGGTTATTCCGCGCGCGCCAGTCTATCGCGTAGTATTTACGAAAAAAAAAATCGAAATTTTCCGTACTGAAAAGCCATACGATAAAATGCGTAACGACTTAGTTAGGTCGGGCTCGATGGGAAATATTTGGCTTTCGGTCATAGCACTTGGACCTCTGTGTTTTGCTCGGTCCGTACGTCATGACCTCGAGCCAAATACTTTCCCGTCCGGCCCTCCCACTCAGTCAATTAGTACACAGTATCTCACAACGGCTTTAAACTGATAGTAAATTTCAGTTGATTCATTTTCTCCTCTTTTCCATCGGGTTCACCAACGTCTAATTGACATAACAGGTCGTAAGTAGCTTTTTCTTTACTTTTCCTCATTCATTTTTACATTTCTAACAAAACAGGTACTATTCGACAGTCATCATCAGTCATCATGTATTAGACTCTCTTCAGAGTTATCATCATTTTTGCGAAAGAGTAGATTTGTAAAAGAAAAAGGTTTACTTACAATGAACTGGTATAGTTTTCGCCCAAGTCAATATTTTTTATTGCGGCCAAGAGTTATACTTTGGCAAAATGTCCTTTTTACTATTGGTGGCCGACAGCATGTTAAAGACTCTTATCTGGTCAGACTTCACCATTGACTGCCAACATGGTAACCATTTGAAATACCCAACAGTTGTGGCTAGTGTAATAGGATGTGTAGTCATACTACTGGCTGTTCCGTTAACAAGACACTTTTACTTGACGATACCAAACTGAAGAACAATGTGGGCAATAACAAATGTGCATCACTAACTAACATATCTCTTTCTCCTATTTCCTACCTAAACGGGCAAATAGATCGTAAGTATGTCTTATTTTTATAGTTATTTGGCCCATTTCACATGTCTTTTCACTACTGCAGTAACAGTCATGCAACATATATGTGTCACTGTCGCTTAGTTTTGTAATAATGAAGGCTACAATTTCGTTTTATTGATATTATTATGGATGAGAAATTATGATCATCAATAAACATGGCATTCTGATATTCGCCTTGCTTCCTAACTTATGGTTGGAAACTTGTTGACGTCGTTTTGAACTAGGCTCTCGTGAAAATATACATTCAGTGTGAACCATAAGTAGATAAGGATCAGATTTTGATTCAGTGGCTCAGTTTACTAAAAGATTTAATTTCGTCTTTGGTAGACTGTAAAATTGAGGTGGTAGTTACTTGAAACTAATTATGAGAATTAAAGCCATAATCATGAAAATGGTTTCATATCAGAATTATTTGTTGAGCAGGGGTCTTAGCCGACTGATTAATGAATATCAACTCTCTAAGCAGTTAATTACTTTCCTTTTATTTATTTTTCTGTTCTTGATGTTTTTTTTTTCTTATTCCTTGGCCTTGGCAACTGTGAAAACTATTAGGACGTAAGTACATGTTTCGCTGTGATTTAAAGCATTTCTATTTGCATGGCACCTTCACAGTACGTTTACGTTAATATATTTAACTAAAGTACAGGTGATAAACGAAAGTAAAAGTGCATAGCATTTCTCAATAAACAAATGAATGTTTTGAGCAACAGATGCACGTTTTAATTTTTTTTTTTATAACTTTTATTTACATGCCACTTCTGCAATCACTTAGCTGGTAAGTTGAATTTAGTTTATCTCGCGCAATTCTTATTCTTGATAATCATGCTCAAGACAATTAAATTTTCCTTTAGTACCTAAGATCTTATTTACAACCAGACCGCGTATGAAATGTTTACTCTTTTCGGAGTGCATGTCGATTAAGTGTTGTAAAAACAAAGCCAGGTTATTATCACGGCGAATCAGAACAACGAAAAATCACTGGAGCTTCAAGAATCTCATATTCAAAGCAAACATTTGGTATCCAGGACTGGAAAACGCACGTGATCATGTAAAATCAAATTTGCTGAGAAGCTGCAGTGCAGGACAAGGCGTAGCAAAACTCCGATGTTACCAAGGATTACTTCTGAAACTCCCATTGAAAATGGCTTTCGCTTACAATAATACAGTTTTAACCAATGAAATTTATGCTGACGTCCATCAATGTGTTTAAGTTTACTTTTATGCTTTATTTTGAATTTTGAGCTCAACTCGTGCTTACGGTATATTTTTATTGGTAAAGACTTCCATGCATAACTGGCCTCTCATCCTGTGATCGGATGGTGACAGCTGATGAGGAACATTCGATTCAGCAATGCTAACTTTCTCAACTTCCTGATAGCGACTGAATCTCGTCCAAGACTGCAAACAAAAAAGTTCGCGGTGTCTACCTTAGGATCATTATAAGGCCTGACAAAAGCAGAACAGAATT